GTTGGTCTTGTGCGTGCAATGTTCGCTCCTCCATCGCGTGTCCACAATGCGAATGTTTGCGAATTCCGGAACTTCGAGATCCCTCTTGACATTGGATTTCCTGCCTGCTTACTGACTCAGCTCTCTTCACTAGCTTTGATCACTTCATTGCAACCCTGGTATCGAGTGGTATTCCCAACATTGGGACACAACCAGCCCATGGATGCTGGCTGTTGGGATGGAAGTGGTTGATGGCCTTCTTGTATGTCAAGAGTGGAGATCTCTTGTGGGTGGGGCGGTCATTGGGCCCTGGGTTGATCTTTCATAGGCAAGGAAGTTGAGGAACTGGGCGACATCAGTAGGGTAATTTCTAGTAACTCCTCCTGAAGAAAAATGAAGAAGAGCGACCATGGTGTGAGTAATGATCAGCGAAACCAGTTTCGATGGATCAGCGAAATGACAGATTTGGCGAAGAACGTACCTGGGTAAAGTTCTTCCTGTTATTATAGTGACGACATGCTTCCAACCCATAAACCTGGCAACGGCTGGCCGGTACTGCTGATCGAGTGACTTCCGCTTCCTCGCCATGGTCAACAATTCAGCGAGTTGTGTAACAAAATAGCCAAGTAGCGAGTAACAAAGTAGCGAGTAGTGAGTAACAAAGTAGCGAGGGTTCGCCTTTTCGAAGTTTCATCCAATTTATGGAGAATGAGCGAACTGTTGGCTGATCGGAGGTAGACTACTAGCTAGCTAGCCATCCAACGTACTACGGGATACATGCGTTGATCCGAGGGGATCTTTGGCGTTTTTCCTCTCTTTGCACTGTAAGTGTGGTTCCGGGCTTAAGTCTTTGAGTTTCGCGGAACGTTTGTGTGTGTCTAGTTGTTCTTCGCACGATAGAAGTTGTATTTTAGGCACGATTGCAGCAAGATACTTAGGATAAAAGTTGTATTTTGGGGTTGCCGATACAACCCACAGTACTATTTTGAGTAGTATCGGATACCCTCAAATGCTGGTTTTCCCCGCGAAATACTCTCAAAAGTCTTATTGCAGTACCATACCCCAATAAAGGATACCCATACTTAAGCCTAAGTAGGGGCGAACTGGCTGCTATGACTACAGGGTAAGTCCCACCAACCAGTGCGATCCCCCAAAGACTGATACCCTCGACCATGTGACTACCGTTGTATTTTAGTTATACAGTACCGGTACCGGTACCACTGGGTGGAGAGTCAGTCGCCACACAACGGTCTCTGCTGTTTTGCGCACGATCGGCAATTGATAAAGCAACAACGACGAGCGAAATAAGCGCGGGTTGTTCAGCTGCGGACGGTTTGGGAGGTGGCTGGGACTGGCTGGCTGCATGATGAAGCAAGCAAAGTTGGCTACAGTACGTGAATCAAAAATTCTGAACAAAGACTGCTGTCGGTCAATCAAACATCAGGCTCACAGTCCTTCGCCTTTCGTACGGTCGCTTGGATATCCACCACGCCCGGCCACGGGTCAACCTACATGGCTGGTGTTCACAAGAACTATTCCAGTTTGTTGCTTGCGCCCAGTCCAGCCCAACCCACGCAGGCTGCAGTCAGGCCACAAATCAGTGGTGGGAAGGACGAGCGAAAGTGGCCATAAATGGAGAACAGTGGTGCAACCAATTTTCATTCAATTCAATTCAATTCAGCCCTACTGATTCTGTGCTGGACGCCCAACTAACCCTCCTGCCCACTGTTTCGTTCTACCGGTATCCTCGAACGAACCCCTAAAAGTACCAGGAGTGTAGGCCTTTGAAAAGCTGGGCATCTGCCTGCTGACGAACTTCGTAACAGCTGTACGTTATGCTGTACTGGACAGCAATGTCTAGCTAGCTACTGCACTGGCTATCTTGAGGGGAGTTCCATCGAGTGCGTGCAAAATCGTCTGAGCTGACCATTGTCATGGGTGACCATAATGATTGGAATCTGCAAGTTCTCCAACGTTCGTTCTACAAGCAACGTGTTGCCAATGTCAATGGCACTGCAAGATTCGTCCATGATTAGAACGTCAGGCTCCAGGGCCAAAGCTATAGCCAAGGATGCTCGTTGTGCTTCGCCCCCCGACAAGGTAGACCAAGGTCGATCGAATGCGGATTCAGGAAGTCTCCACTCCTGGCGGGCAATTTGGAAGGGTGTCTTGCCAACTTTGATTTTGGGAATTGCAAAGGCGCTCGAGAATTTGTTGAAAGAAGGGTTCTGCTTCTGAAATTGGTATTGAAACTGTTGAAGATTCTCAAAAAACTCTCGTGGCGTCCCGGTAACGGCGGGACGATCTTGCGATACCAGACAAACTCTGGTACGCCATTCTGGCACGGTGAAGCTTGTCACAGGCACACCATGAAGGCACATGACATGTTGTTGAGGGGCTGTCCTGTTGTCGATGAGCGGATCATCACTTTCCTCTTTAGTGTTGGTAGTAGATTCTTCTATGGTTTGAATGAGCGGTTCCAAGCCTACGATGGTGCGTAGTATCTGCGTCTTTCCAATTCCAGATGGCCCCGTTATCCCCAGTCTATCGCCGGGATACAAATCCAGAGAAACCTGGACATTGGCCCTGTGTACAACGAGCTTGTGTATTCGAAGAGCCGGTGCCAAACTGTATCTTTGGAAGCTTTTGGTTTGAGTGTTGTTGATGTCGACTTTGTTTGGCAAAGACACTGGAGAGACCTTGGTGGGAAGAACCTCAGCGTCGTCATCGTCCTCGAGATTGTCGTTCATTATTTCTTTGTCCATTGCTCTTTCGTCCTTCTCCTTTTTGGCCCGTTGCTTCGTATCCATCAGGTCTTCGATTTGAAGTCGATGTTGTCGTTTATCCACTAGAGTTCCAAGCACCAAGCTCGTCAATAGTTGCACTGTTGCCGCCGCCACGGATGCAATCAGAAACCAAATGACAGTTTGATACACGGCTGCTTGTCGGGGCGATTGTCCGGCCAAGATCTGTCCAGAACATCAAAAACAAACAAAAATTAGAACCTCCAGCCAAGGTGAAATGTTCCAAGAACGCACGCGCAAGTCATGAGATTCGATTCCACTGTAGTATGATGCTTACCTGGCCCGTCATCATTCCTGGTAAATGGACAATGCCCGTGATAGATAAGGCGTTTACGGTGGGAGTCAACGCCGTTTCAATGCTTTCTCGAGTCAAGGGAAGGATGGCCTCTTCGTAGGTAGCCCCTCTTGTCAGTAACAGTTCCACTTGTGCTTGATTGGTGACAAAGGAACTCGTGAGACCCGATGCCGCAAGTGTGACTGCCGACAGTGTATTCCCAAAAAGCATTCCTGCGACGGGAATCAGTGTTTGTGGTTTGTACCATGGTTGCAGTCTTCCAAAGAGTCGGAGTCCCATGGCAAACGAGAGAACAGAAATACCTCCGAGGAGCACGGAACATGTCAAATGAGTTCGTAATTGTGGATACGAGTATTCCAAGCGTCCATAAGCTTCTTGTGCCGCAATAGTGCCAACAGTGAGAATCCAGGCTACAATCAACCATGGCTGAGAGGTGGGGAGCAGCCACTGGAGGAACAATCCTCCCAACAATTGAAGCTGTAGAGTACAGCGAGTACAGGCAATCAGTAGTTGTCTTGATAGACCCGGTAGTCCCAATCGGGACAGTCCAAGACCTCCAATCATGGCAATCAGAGCAGATGCCGAGAGTACTTCACGGTAGCCCAAGGTGGCTGGAGGGGTGGCGACTGCATAAGAACTCTTGGTAGCGATACCAGCAGCAACTGCCGATGGACCCTTTCCAAGACACACGAGAAGAAAGGTCAGTATAGCCAATCTGATCCTTCTCTTTCTGCTGTGTGATGCTATCCATCTCCAAAACTGGCGTCCCTTTTTGCTCGCAAAAAATGATAATTGTCTCTCAGCATTCTCGGTCGGAATGGTATCTTCTTTCAGGGTGACCGTCTTCAGCGGGTAGCGCCTGATTGGAAGTGGTTTCAATGATGCTGCTTCTTTCCGTCCCTTTTGGAGTTCTCGTAGGCTTCTGGGAGTCAATGGTCGTGATGGAGGACCTGGCGAAAAGGCCGACGCACGCCATCGATGAGCTGGAAGGACTACTAGTAGGAGAGCCGCAAAACTACACAGTCTCCACCGATAGTAGGAGAAAACATTCGGCATAGCTTTGGATCGAAGCGCCATGATTGCAATGCCTGGACGAACCTACTGTTAAAGCCTCTGCAAACATGTTGGTGGAGGCATGGAGGCAGTCCGCCGACGCATTTTGAGTGAGTGATGCCGATCCGATCCAAAGAAGTGGGGTGGGGTGTTGGTGTCAACAAAGATCGAAAATTCGAAATCGGATGGGTCGAACGGTGAATCGAATCAATCGGATGGGTGGAACGGTGACTTCCCCTGCCTAAAAAATGAGAGACGAAAGTCACGACTGACATTGGCTGTGGGACCAAAATAAAAAACACCACACCAACCTGTACGAGTTTAATAAAGGAAGTGGGTGAGACACGTAGAAAGTGTACCAGCGCTACAGCCCAAAAATGGACCAAAACCGTCTATAAGCAAATGACTGTCTCAATGTCCAATTTACCCATAAGTAGATCAATACGAAATCGACCTCAAGTACCATTGACTGATAGCATGTTACCCATACTGACAACATGATTTAAAATCATATACCCCATGTTAAACCTGTATTTCATTTTCGTTATACTTTTTACGAGATGCATAAATATTTTGGTCCACCATTGAGTCCCGTTAACTCAGAAAGTGGACAGTGAGACAGAAGGTTTCCGATATTGTACTGTTTTTGCTATAGTATCTCTGATGTCTCAAAGCGATGGACCAAAACCGACTTTAAACCTGTAGTCTCTTCGGTACCACCACCTTCACACCTGGTCTACTAGTATCTTCGGTACCACCGGTGCCTCCGGCCACATGTGCCACAAATAAAACAACTTGAAGGTCTCAAGTCAGCCAATAAAGCTCCACCGCAACAAACAAACAAACAAACACCCCTATAATGATAATCCTGTTGATTCTCGTGGTTTTCCTCGTGGTTTTGGTGCCCATCCTGGCCATTCTTCTATTGGTTGTCCTCCTAATTTCGCTTCTCTCTTCGTTGCTGACGCCGGTCAGCGTTGTCGTTGGGGTTCTCTTGTGCCTGTCATTTCTCAGGCAAAGAAACCACCTGTTTGCAAAATGGAAAATGGACCACCCAAACTCAAAGGATGGCTATCCAGCGTTGCTGCCGTGGCGTGGGCCTCGGGAGAGCGTTGCTTGTCGACAACGATGTGAACGAAACACACGAAGGAAGGAACGTGCCTAGCCAGAGTTTTGCAGCAGTCAGTCAGGTATGCGACATCCTCACTACCGATGGTGCCCGTCGGTACTACGGGTGCTACCCGAGTGTAAAAAGTAGAATGTAAGCTCAGAGCTTTATTAACTAACTTAACTAGCTACAAGACAAGCAAATTTCAGTAATGGTGATTGATGTAGTTTAGTTTAAAGAAGTGTTGCTGGTTTGCTAAATGGTGGCAAGTCCGCTGTTGAGGCAAACCACTGTGTTCGCCTCGTAGGGAAGAATAGGAGGACTGCGGACTTGGTTGTGGAGAATGAGGGTCTGCTTCTGTTGCACATATTTTAAACAATGGAAACTCCTGCAACCTCTCTGGAGGAAACTTCCTTTTTGGGTGGTGTGCTTTTGGGTGAGTCCTTAGTCATGAAAATGACAAAGAAACTAAAGCACCAGAATACGGGTAATGCAATGGTGATTCCCAGATCGATGAGAGTGGTTGGCATTCCCAAGACGAAGGAGGTGGCGACCCAAGCCAAAGTGACCGAGATGAGGACTCCCAAGGAGAAGTAGCATTCAAAGTACCACACAAGCTCATCCAAGATTTGATCGTGCTTGATGGGATCGTAGGCCAATGCCCTTCCAAAGGTCAGGTTAAATGTGATTTCGACAAAGCTTCGGAAGATCATCATGACACCACAACTGGCAGTTGCTGTGATGATGCTCCATACCAATGCGTATACAGCAATGTGTTGATCCGAAGTGCCCTTGGCCCAGGGAAGGTTTGTCAAGAAGCTTGCACCAATTGTGGACACTTGGATGAAGAAACCAATGAGAACACCCAGAATCAAACAACTGTACTTGAGTCGACCAATCATGACATGGTCCAATTCCGCTAGCGAACTGTTGGAGCTGTCTGATGCTGACTTGCTGCTATTAGTGTTGTCACCCTTGATGAGTGGCTCGGACATGTTTGATGCGGTCATCATTGTGCGATACGATAATAGATATGTTCGAAGAAGGAGACTACTAGGGTGGAAACAAGCAAAATTGGTGCTTTTGTTCTTGCGAAAGAAGGAAAAAATGAGACACTTCTTTTGTTCTTTCCATTGTCCACGGGGTGACAAAGCAAGGAGGGCGGAATCGCCAAACAGAAGAGGCTGTCGGCGACGGGAGGGTTACACCTTGCCAAGAAACGAAAATCTCGTTGGTGCCACGATTGTGTGAGGAGAAGAGCCATTTAGGGGAAACGGGAGCGCACGGCCAACAACAGGGGCTTTTACATAGATGATCAAGTACTACAAACCTGATACCCGTAGATTACTTCGCACGAGCCAGGTCCACATGGACTGTAATTAGGTTCACTTGGATGAGGGAGTAGCTTAGCAGTCAGTCACGGATAATACGATGATACCCTTCCACGTGGAAGAAAAGCTGGAAGTTGAAGTCAGAAATGAGGCGTCGCGATCTTTTGTCCGTCGAACAAGTGAAACCCTCTACAGATGCCATCCCTTTGCTTGCTTATTACTATCTCAAAGCCAAGGAAGTCTGGAAGGAACCGGAAAGATAACGAAGATGATCTGCCAACATCCCAAGACTAGTAGCAGGTTGTTTGTTTCTGTGCTCTTGGTTTGCTTGTTGGGATTTGCTACCCTTGTGGTGGAGGGATCCTCGGGCACATCTGGCAACAATGTGAAACGTCCAGACTGGTTGGATGTTGACCGTGTGACCATTCAAGAGTATATGGACCTAGCGCGACAGCGTCACAAGGAAGCCATTGCCAAAGCTCGCGAATCGTACAATATCCTAGAGGCGCCTGGGTATACCCCCGACGAAGATTTGCTTTCGCAGCTCCATTTAAAACCCCGCATCGTCAAATCCTCGGGTGGTCTTCCCGATTTTCAAGATGAACTCGACAAGAAACTGTTTGTTACAACGCCCACCCCACTGTTCACAGCTGAAGAAAGCCAAGAGTGCATCGATATGGCCGAGGAACATTTTGAGACCACCAACAATGGAGAATGGACCAAATTGCCTTCAGGCCAATACGATGTGGCGGGATTTTGGATTCGCGATATCCCGGATGTCCATGATTGGTTCTTGAAGAAGCTGCAGACCAAGCTCTTTCCTCTGCTGGCACGTGCCTTTCCTGAATTTTGTGACAACTCGGTGGAGGATTTGGTGGTGGATAATGCCTACCTCTTCAAGTACACGCCCGAAACTGGACGACGCACCGATGTTCACACAGACAGTGGATGTTTGAGTTTCACCATTTCCTTAAACTCGAATAGCGATTATCAAGGGGGTGGAACTTGGTTTGAAGGATTGCAATCGGATGAGGATGGAGAACAGGTTATAGGAAAACAAGTTATAGAAATGGATGTTGGACAGACAACTGTTCGACCTGGCGGAGTCCGACATTGTGGATATGCCGTCACGGAGGGAACCCGATACATTATTGGAGGGTTCTGTATGCAAGCCAAGAAAGTAGAATACGTTCGCATGCTCTTGGGAATTGGCACGCAAGGGCAGAATCTAGAAGAACGACAAACAGCGTTGGAGGTGGCCATTGCCTTGAATCCTGGATTTGATGGATGCTACGTCAATCTTGCTGACGTGCTGGTGAAACAAGGCAACACGAAAAAGGCCAAGCAGGTGCTGGAGTACTGTTTGGAACACGTCAATCCTCAATGTGGTGAAGTCTCGTATACGTTGGGTTCCCTCCTGTTTGACGAGGGGGATCTTGCCCAAGCCAAGAAATGCATGGAACGTTGTTTGCAAGTAGACGATAGCGACGTTGATGCCATGGTCTTCATGTCACAGATTGTTGCTGCGGAAGGAAACAAACAGGCAGAAAGAGAATGGAATGAACGGATTGTGGGCACACCTGGTGTTGCGGACATGGCCGCCGCTCAGGCATACTGTAACCTGGGAGTGCTCCATGCAGGAGAAGACTTGGAAATTGACTATTATCACAAATCCTTGACTTGCAACCCGGAAAGCTTTGCGCCACGATTCAGTTTGGGATGTGCCTATGCCGAGCGACAGCAATGGGACGAAGCCGGACAAGAATTCCGCTTGGCTTTGGAGTATGGAGGTGCCAGCAACGACGACGAGGAAATGAGAGCCATCAAGGCTTTGTACACCGTGGCTATGAACACTATCAAAAGGGATCATCCACAGGGAGTTGCCTCGCGAGACGAAATGATCCAACTCATGCGAGAAATCATGGGCGGCACCAACTTCGACAAGCTGGCGGCTACATCCCAACAGAGATGAGATGCTTGCCAATGCACTGAATTCGATGATGTAGCTGCACCTGCACCTTTGCAAACACTATCCGTAGGCGTGTTCGCAGAATTGCAACACCGGTACCAGCCAGCTGGCTAAGAGAAGACATCACCAAAGGCAACAGGCACAATACTCATATTTTTAAAGAGTTAGATATCTTCCGTTCTTTCTTTAAGGCAGTGGTTGCTCCATGTTCCCACACACATCAAAACAATACTAGTATCACACACACAATGATCGTCAAATGGCCACATACAAACGTAACCATGGATCCCCGCCATCCCATGCCATGATGGAAGGTTTGGGAGCCGGTATGGCAACGGTATCTCTAACGCTACAGTATCCAACAAAAAAAGTGAAATTTGTAAGGAAAGCTTGCAATTTTTGTCATCCCTACAGACAAAACCAACTCATACAGAATGATGGAAATCGAAACATACATACAACAAGTCAAACAACACCTTGCAAAAAATGCCAAAGAGATCCCGCACTCAAGGCTAACCGAGGTATCACAAGCAGCACTAGATCTACTTGAACTGAAGCAAGACTGTCTCTCAGACAAAGAATCAGCCCATGCATTCCAACAAATTAGATCATGTGCAATCCCATCACCCAAGCTTATGATCAAGGATCACAAGAAACCCAACAAAGATGGTGTATTCCCAACTAGACTTGTTGTACCAGCCAACAACTACACATCAGCATTCCCTAAACTCGGATACCTAGGAATCAAAAGAATTCTAGACGACAATAAAATAGACTACATGGACAAAACAATCATCCAAGCCTCCGACCTCAAAGGCCAAGTAGAAAAACTAGGAGTCAACACTAGCAACTCAACAATAGTATCGATCGATGCTGAAGCCTACTACCCTTCAGTTCGATTCAAACTAGTGCGCAAAGCAGTAAAATACTTTGCCAGGAACCTTGACGCAGAATGTCAAAGACGACTGGATGACTGCCTAGATATGATCAAATTTGGGATGAACTCTACACTACTGACATTCAAAGACAAATACTATGAATATGATGGAGACATGGATCCAGAAGAGAAGGGACTAACCATTGGTGGATATGAATCCGCATGGCTATCTGATCTAGTAGGAGCCTACATCCTAGAAAATACCAAAGACCACTTTGAAGAAACATCATACTATGGCCTCTACAGAGACGATGGTTTTGCGATCTTCAAAGGAACTTGGACATATGAAATGATAGTAGAATGGAGAGCCAATTTTCAGGCCAAAGTCAACAGCCTAGCCCAAGGAGACTACCTAGTATTCACCTGTAGCATATGGCTAGACCAAACCAAAAGACAACTCCCAAAAGATCAATCCGACCCCAAAGTAACTGTAGAAAGTGGAAAAGCATTCCCGTATCTAGATATGGAACTGTTCTGGTCGGACCAGGAAGAACTTCACTTCCGAGTCCACCTTAAACCGAACCAACAACTGAAATATCTAAACAGGGGAACTACCCACACAAACGCATGCCTCAAAAACATCCCACTAGGGGTGTTCCAAAGACTTGCTAAACTCACTACAGTTACCAACAAGAATGCCAACCAAAACCTCGACGAGATCTACCCACTTCACTTCGAGGCGCTGAAGAAAGCTGGACTGGTTCCAGACCAGATTCCAACGCTACAAGAAGAAATACAACGATACTCCCAGCGACAAGAGGACAAAGCAAACGAACCAGATAGAGATGCCAAGCAACGAAAGAGGAACCGGAACCGATCATTATTCTTCTGTATAGGACACTCCAACGCCTGGACGACACCAATACACAAGGTAATCAACGACCTCAAGAAGAGCCATGGCCTCGAATGGATTAGAACGTCTATGTCCTACCATCGATTCACCAACCTGCGAGAGATGTTTATGGGCGACCTATCCAGGAAGCTCACCAATGACGTCATCTCCACCGAGTTCCAAAATGAAACCTGCAACTGCAAGCCAGGAAACAAGAAAGACGGTCAATGCCGATTTGACGACCACTGTAGAAACAAACTGGCTATATACTGTATCAAATGCATAAACTCAGGCAAGGAATACATTGGGGCAACCCAACGAAACGTCAAAGAACGGACATACCAACACTTCACCGACGTCATGCGTGAGGTTGATCTACGAAAATACAAGAGATGGAGCCACTACACTACATTGCATGTTTGTGTTTGTTTAGAGTTTGACATCGTTGTGCAGCAAAGAGGACTACGGTACAAATTTCTACCCGTTCGGTTCAAGAGGGAGTGCGAGAGGAGCCAAACCAGCTGGTGGTTGGCAATTCACGAGGTGAACCTCCCGGGACTCGCTAGAACGAGGTAGACGTAGAATCCCCTTTTAATTTTTAGCTTATTCTTTTGTGTCATCCCATGTCTACATCGTACTGCACATCGGCCTCCGTTCGCAGCAGGCCCCAAAAAACGACGAGTAGACTTTCTCGCAAACGGCCAACGACGAGTAGACTTTTCACACAAAACAGAAGGGCGATCAGCACCCACCCACAAACAAATCCATCCATTCAGAAAGCGGAACAACCCACAGCCTACAAAGATCAGTAGTGTAGCCAAGCTTAACGAAACATAGACAGCTGAACTATTAATTAAAATTCATACGATTTTAGCAAAAAGTGACTGAACTAAGTAAGTTTACTCACAAACTGCCGAATCGCTAAAACACAGGCTTTACTCTGTGGTAACTTTTCGGTTGTTTACTTTTTCATCCCCATGGGAATCATCAGTGCTTGGGCTATTGTGGTACTTATGAAATCGTGGTTTATGTCGGCATGCTCCGTATATTTCGTTGCAGGAGTTGATCAGCTTTTCCGGCGATTCTCTGGATCGTTTCAGTATCTCGAGTCGCTCCCTGTTGCATAGGCTGCAGTGTCGTGTCCCGAAGGTCTTGACAGTGCTGATGGGGTTGCCTTGCCATAGGATGCTAATTTCGATGCTGTTCCTTTGAATGTGCCGTTGAGTCGGAATGGTGAAGGAGGTGCGAAGTTTGGAATTCGTTGGCGAAGTGTCTTGCGTATGAATCTGACTTGCGTTTTCCGTAGAGGAG